TTCATTCATGTGACAAATGAGCTATAAGCCCATATTTTCTGACTCTCAGCTCTCCCCCCTTCTGGATAAGATTTTATTTTGATAAACTGGCACACAGTGTTGCACAGTAAGTAATATTAACTGTGTTAAGGCAAGCCTAGTTATTATAAGTGTCTAACATACCGAGCGGAAGCGCTAGGCTGTACAAGAGAAGACCTAAATGATGAAATAAAACAGACAGAGGAAGAAGCGTTGGTGTTGAATAACTATCTTATAAAATTCATTAGGAAGATCAATAAAGGCCAAAAACAACCATAAAAATAATTGTGAAACTATTAATGATAACATAAATAAGAGAGAATATAAGTCATCCACTGTTATCGCATATAAGGAGGGGGGGACATCTGAGACCCTACGTAGGATTCTTAACAAACCAGGAATTAGAGTGGAATTTAAGCCTACAAACTCACTCACGCACAAACTCTGTAGGTTGAAGGACTCTGTTGACACAATCAAACATAATAATATTATTTACAAAATACCCTGGAATGACTGTGAGGTCACTATATTGGTCAAACTAGTAGATCGTTGGTAGTCAGATTGTCGGAACATAAGAATATACTGGCTAAGGTAAGAATGGTTGATCCCATCTGAAAAGATAAGTAATTTAGAAAAAAGCTCAGCGATTACACTGCATGCAATAACACACAACCATAAAAATGGGTGGGTTGGACAGAGTCAAAATTCTAAGAAGTAATCTATCTAGGTGGAGAGAGAGGTTGATTACTGAATCCTGCCTGGTTCATCGAGTCTATACCCAACACACTACATGCAACAGAAATATGGAAGATACTATTACCACCAGTCAGTCAGTCAAATCACAGGAGGATAATAAACAATCTCAAAATTCTATTTCATTCAGTTCCAGTACATCATAACATTCTAACAAGTTACTTATTTATTATGACTATAACAACACTCGTCTTATTTCCCATCTGATTGTATTTGATCAGTAGCACTCATATTATTATTTCTGAATGTAAATTATCCTATATTGATTTTTATTCACATATCTGGTCAATTCCAGTCATGTATATAAATGAAGGAAAAAAGTTGTGTGAGTGAGTAACTTGATATGATCATGAATGGCAATAGTTTGTATTCGAGAGGTGGTCATCAGTTAATATTACTATATAACAACACTGTGTGAGACTTTATCAAAATAAAATCTTATCCATAATGGAGTTATACTCTACCATCACAGTGGCCAAGTTTTACACTTATATCTCAGTTCTCCCCTTGCATCTCATCAGGTGTGTGAAGTGGCATACTAAGGTGAGCAACATTGAAGTTAGGCGTCGAGTTGTAGGTAAACAGGGGAAATCAATCGACGAAGTTGTGAAGTTACAAAGACTGAGATGGTCAGGACATGCGTTACGTATCCCAAGTCATCGCCTTCCTCGACGAGCGATGTTAGCAGATATAGGGGCAGACTGGAAAAAAGCTAACAACGGTCAAACCAAAACTTCGCACCAGTCAATGAAATCTACAACAGTTAGTCTAAGCCACGTAGGGAGGTTTATACTTATTGGCTGGTTGGGGTCCTCGGGACGGTAAAATCTATGGTTGGAAACAATTGGTGACATGGCTCAAAATCGTTCTCAGTAGCGCAGATGCATCCACTCCTTGTGACTTATGATCTCCAATGAAACTGTTTTGTTCTTCGTATTACTCCTCCTTTGTCTCACATCTCTGCTTACTGTCTCTATTATGCTTTTCTTGTACTTTCTTCTCTTGCTTCGCGTGCTACAAGGAGGGAGTGTGGCGACTTGAACTGGTGCACATGTAGTGCAAAGTTCTATGTCGAAAACAGACAGACAGGTAGAACAAGAAGTCATTATTAAAAGTTAAATAACCCAGTAACCAACTACAGAAACTCAACGATACCCTATTTGTCGCACCCACACGGGTTCTGTGTGACAGAGATGGTGTTAAGCGTTAAATCTATGTTTTTTACAGCATGTCTTCTATTTGTAATTTATGGAGATACTATTCCAGTTATCTTGGTCTTTAACATTAATATTATTATTGTACACATTTTTTTAAAAACATTTTGACTTTATTGTTCCCGCTAATGTCGAAATATCGCTTTTACTAGGCCTGGTTACATTTACCCTGAAACATTACATTTCGATTTGCTTTTGGCTGTTGTTGAGTAAATTAGATGCAATACTGTACGAAATGTTTAGATTTTCCACACCGCATCTCATAAGTACTGTTTTGGAGGATTAAAGCAAATTATTTTTACACTAAACTACATATGGCGAAGTTCAACAATAGCTTGAGTGCCAGGAGTGTGAATGCTCCAATGACCTTGAAGACATGCTAGTCGTTGTTGGCTAAAGGCACCACCTGTCATTATCATAGCTGAAATATCAACACTATTCACCAGCTTAGGAGCAAATTTCACCCAGATCACGTTTTTTTAAGTACTGTTTGGACAATGTGTTAATAGCTCGTTAGGGTTAGGATGATTAGGGTTAAGGTAGGTATTGAGGTTAGGGTTAGGATCAGGGTTATGATTAACATTAGAGTTAGTATTACGGTTTAGATAAGGGTTATGATGAATAGGGTAAGGATTAGGGTTAGTGTTAGTGTCAGGATTAAGCTTATGGTTACGATTAGGGATAGATTCATAGTTGATGCCACTTATTTTAATTTGTTTTATTATCCACGTTTTCCTGGTATATGTAGTCGTCTATCCTCTTGGTGGAAACCACAGTAATAATTCAACCGAGGACTGTTTCGAAAGACTGCAGGCATGATGAGAGAGATAGAAAAATTAGTTTATCTGTAGTCATCTCGGTGAATGCATGTACAGAAACTAGTCTAACCTAGCAACTGTTACTCCTTGTTACAACTGGGACGTATTTTTAAGCCATGTCAGAGAAAGATAACCTGATTGATTAGTGCGTTTTCAAGCGTCTTCTTGTCAATATACATCATTTTTTGCGTAAACATTCCTGATTTTTATGATTGGTCCGCTGGAGGTCACTCGTGCGTTCGCATCCCTTGGGACGACGCTATCGTTGAACTTTTCCCTGCATTCAGACGGACAGACAGTAGTAGTACTATATGACTACTAGTCCTCCACCACAATAGGTGTGTCTAGACTGATCAGGGATCGATTTTGGTTGAAAATCCATTGGAAACAAGAAAGTACTGGACAGGTAGGTAGGTGTTTCGCCTTTGTTTAGGACTCTTCATCAGTACACACTTATAGCCCCATCTCATCAGGTGTCTAATTCAAGAGTTTCAGGTTATAAGGCGAGCTTGATGATCAGTCAGCTGCTGGAAGTGGAGAGGAGCAATGGTCTATCTATTGTAACGAACCCATCCTGTGATTTGAAGGTGCATTGGTTCAATTTTTCATCGGCTGAAAAGTATCAAATGAGGACGACACAACCGTCCCGGTGTTATGTACTGGTCGAGTAATTAATAGTCCTGACGCAAGAAGGCGGAAATTAGAGAATCACCAGGTTCATGATGATACTTGTATTTTTCACACAAGGAAAATCAATGTCACACAAGTGTATGAGCGAATGTTCAAAAATGAACGAATCAATAGACAGGCTTAACATGATTGGTTGTAATGTCATGTGACAACAAGGTCAGACATGTTTGTTTAGTTAGTGGACAGACAAAAACATATTGTCAATTATAATGGAATATCGATCCATATATACATATCAAAATATAACAGACTGTCAAAAACAAACACACATATTATATGGATACACATCACCCGGCACTTTTTATAATTTGTTATCAGGCAATAATAAAGAATAGACACCAAAGTAAAATGACCTTGAAACAACCAATCAGATTATTTCATTTATAAAGTGGCAAAAAATTAATAAAAACTGTATTTACAACATACGTATGTAATAGAAATGGACTATACAGGATAAATGTCTCTAGTGTGCTGCAAAAACTGGTACCAGTTTCACATAGGAGTGGTTATAGACATATTAAACCACTACCGATACAAAAACTCATCTAAATGGTTATATACCATATCACTTCGGGAACCATTTACCATTCTGATACGTTTTTTGAAGTGATCCCAAAATCCTTCATTGGAATTTGTATGTGTTCCTGTTACGGGATCCACCAGTTCAGAAGAATGGTTGACTTTGTGGTGAATATAGCCTAGTGATGATAATTGAGAAAAATCTCTCTCCACTCGTCTGTGTGAATAGTAGTTCCTGGGAGGACTAGTCGTTGTATAATTGGTATTAACAACACATCAGCACTTCTGTTCCGGATGCATTCCACAAAGCCTTTAACGAAGATTTGTGTCGTAAAGTCGCAGCACTCAAACATGATTTGTTCTAATCCTCCCTCGATTTATTTTTCGCTTAATAAGTACAGTTTCGTCAATATGCACGACGACGCCAACTCCTTCGAGTACAGAGGTGTGATCCTATTCAGCTTTTGTGAGGCAACATCACAGCAGTGCTGATACTACACTGCACTGTTGAAATCTTTGTATTCTCCGTTTCTTTAGTTGTAGCAGACCACTGGTCGCTTTAGTAACCAGTTGTATGGCAGTTATACGCAGTATTTTACTAAGCGACAATTTCGATTTGCATAAGAAAGTATCTAAAAAAATTACCAACTTGCACAGATTTCCTCATGTAACAACAGTGATTGCATCTAAATGCGTAGCCGTCAATAACCCGCCCGGCAATGCTTTTGTAAAGTCATTATCTCTCCACATATGCAGGATTTTTTAGACCTCCCTATCCACCCATTTTCCACACACAGTGGAAGTCAAAAACTAAATCTGGGTGAAACTTTTGCAACGAAATTCATGAATCGCATCCATTTTGAATGATGAACAATATGATTGATTGTTTCAAGGTCATTTTACTTTATACATTTATCATGGTTTTTTAAAATTCATTCGATTTTAATACTTCTTCTTTTTTCATGATGATGATGACGACGATGATTAGGATCTTGTGAACAACAACAGCAGCAACCGCAACAACAAATCCCTATGAATTCAACAATCCCATATCGTAATATGCTGGTGAATGGACGTGAATCATCATTTCCATATGAAAATTCAATGTCTTATTCTCAATACAATTTTCCTGCATCATCAACACAAGTTATGCATTCTGCAGCGTTTAATAATACTAATACTACTACTACTAATAATAATAATAATTGTAACGATATGAACAAAGTGAATACATTTCAACATTTTGAACAACATTTCCCTATACGAAATACAAATTGTCTTACAAAATATTCACAACAGTATCCTGATAATGATAATAATAGTAACAATATTACTACTAACAATAATACTGGATATAATCGAAATTTACCAGTAAATGTAAGTCACTTCTGTTATATTTGAGTCAGTTTTTTTGTTTCAAGTTCATTCATGGATTGATATAATCGGTTATTAGTGAACCATTGAACCATCATGGGAGTATTAGACGTCCGCCTCGTGCCTAGTCTGGAACTCATCAGCGAGCAGTACGCACTCCACCACTGGGATTTGAAACAAATCAAATCCCTACAAACAAACTCTTCTTGAATGAAAATTAATTTGATGCTCTCCAGTGACTGACTACTGGCTACAAGATGAAGTTGCCTGGAGTTCTGGTGAGACATTGTGACTGGGCGAGGTCCTTCCGGTGGGGGAAGTGAAGACAAATACTCGCCACCGTTGACACTGGCTAGTGTTATTATTATTATTTCCTTTAATTCCTAGAGGAACATAGGGCTTCAGCTGCACATCTCCATTGTGTTCGGTTCTCTGCTAGAATTTTCACATGGCTCCAAGTCACCCTTGCCACTGACGACCAACTTGCCGTTTCCCTTTCGGGTTCGACTCGAGCAATCGCTTGTCTAGTGGTGTCCCTTGATGGTCTGTTTCCTCAGAGTATGGCCAATCCATCTCCATTTCTTCCTGCAGATTTGTTGCATAATCGTTTCCTGCTATGTTGGTTTGCTCATTGTCAGAGATTCTTGTTGCTGATCTTTATGACTGATCATCTGATCTTGAGTATTGAGCGAAGGTGGCAGCTGTTAATGAAGTTCTGTCGTTTGTTTCAGGTCCTATTTATGACGCCCAAGGCAAGTCTCTGATCCGTATAGTGAGTAGCACTGACTGGCTTCACATTGGAGTTGAAAATCCGGATCTTATTTTCATTCTCATGCTGAGTGCTGTTGACCTCCACACGGACTTGAGAGTAATGAAAGCTTATCTTGCTTTCTCGATCCTTGCTTCGATATCCTCGTCAGTTCTGCCTGTAGTTGAAACGATACTTCCGAGGTAGGTGGGTAAGTAAAGGAGGTTGTTTCTTTCAGGTTCCTCCCATTTATGCTGACTGATTGTTGTCGGTGGTGGTGTTGGCCAGGGATCTTCATCACCTACCTCTGTTTTCTCTATGTTCACCTGAAAGAAGTCCTATCTTCGCTAGATGCTTCTTCTATCGCCAAATTGTTGCTTTCCACTGGCATATCTTCCAGTTTGTGGAAAATCAGACATACATCATCATCGGCGAAGTCCATATCCTCCAAGTTTTTTGTATGGGTCCATTTTATGCCTGTCTCCTCGTTGCCCGCCAGCTGTCTGTCGCATCATCCAATCTACCGGAATCAGGAAAATCATTGGCGATAGTAGACAGCTAGTTTGTCTTACTCCTGTCCTCACTTCGAGGGATTTCGAAAGTTTCCCGTTGTGGATTACTTGGCATGCAGCATTGCTGTACAACTGTTGGATGAGATGTATAATTGTCGATGGCATCCTGTAGTAGCGAAGTGGTTGCCGTGGTGTCAGTAGGGCTAAAATGGTGAATCGGTAGCAATTAGAATTCATGAGTTGGCGATTCAGTCGGATCCTGATGGCTGAATGGTCTATGAGTCTGGCTTGTGACTGACTGGAGGAGTTCTTGAGTTCGAACCCTGTAGTGCGTGTGTACTGTTGATGAGTTCTAAGCACTAAGACGAAACAACTTTTTGGTGGTAGTACTCCTTGGTGGTTTTCTATGGTTCTCTAACTGATATCCGTTCGTAGTGAAACGTGAAATATTTTTAATTCACCGTTAATTTATATCATTCATTTTCAAGAGAAATGTGTTTGGTCCGTATTGACATGTCGGTTTGTGTACTATGGCAGCTTCGATAATATTTGTCAGGATTTACATGATTTTATTTTGGCTGGTGGTGACTGCTGGCAGTGGAATCCAGCATGCGCGCAGTTTGTCCTATTTGGGGTTTTCGTAAGGTGAATCCCCAGCACAACAAGTGGCCGTGGTCACCCATGTGTCCTAGTGGGGGCGTCGTCAACGCTTGGCGTTTGAAACGATGGTGCTGATGTGTTCGACTCAACGTCAGTGATGAGAACACCATGTGCTAAGTAAGATGCCAGTTGGTGGTATATCTAGCAGACGAAGTCCCAAGTGGGGCGAAATGCATGCATGCCTAATTCCACTACTTGTCATTATCCAGCAAATAATAGTCAATAAGTTAGATAACAGTCGTAGTACTGAGTCATTGGTTGAAATTCCTCTCCATCCACGTCGACCTGGCTAACTTGATCGTCCGTCAAAGGGTAAATGCCAGTCAGTTGTATATAGTTTTAATTAGCTAATATTTTCAACATGTACACAATAAACATGCCTCATGGCACCTGGGTCTGTGAGCAACCTGTTCTATCCAACTGGGCGTCAAATGGCTAACAAACTTCATGTAGATTCTTCTGTCATCGACTTTTGTTGAATCAAATTCATCAGTTGGTGAACCTGATTGATTGTGTTACTAGTTGGCTCAAGCAGCTAGATAGGATTTAGGTAGTTTGTCTGTCTGTCTGTTTTCGACATAGAACTTTGCACCACATGTGCACCACTTCAAGTCGCCACACTCACTCCATGTAGCATACAAACCAAAAGAAGAAAGTAGAAGAAATAGCATAATAGAGACAGTAAACATAGGTGTGAGACAAAGGAATAGTAATAACGAAGAACAAGTCAGTTTCATTGGAAATTATAAGTCACAAGGAGTGGATGCATCTGCGCCAGCCATTGAGAACGATTTTGAGCCATATCGCCGATTGTTTCCAGCCACTAGTTCTGGCTGGCTGACATAAACTATCTGATGAGGCCATGTTGAGGTTTGATCACCATGTGCTAGCTCTTTTCCAACCTGACGCTATGTCGGCTAAAACTGCCCGTTGTCGAGGAAGGCGATGACCAGGCATGCATGCGTAACACATGCCCTAACTATCTTAGTCAATGTAGCTTCACAGTCTCGTCGACTGATTTCCCCTCCCTCCTTACCTAGCACTCGACAGATGCCTAACCTCAATATTCCTCACTTACTTTACTTTACTTCGGCTATCTCCTACGGGAGGATGAGCCGGCTTCATGAACGTCTCGAATCATCGCTGCCCAGGCGCGGCGATCTGAAGCAAGGTTTTGCGATAGGGATATCCAATTCTTGTTCCACATACGGAGTCCGTAGACCGTTTGTAGCCCCAGGCACTCCATATCTGCCTTGACTGTACCAAGCCATGTCTTCAGCTGTCCGCCTCTGCGACATCGCCAAGATGGTAATGGCGAGGGATTTAGAACTGATTTGACCAGATCGTCATCTGGTCGGCGCAGAACATGGCCAAACCACCGAAGGCGGCGTTGTTGGACCAGTACTGGAATTTGGTTGATGTTGTAGCAACGCCGACGCACTTCTTCGTTGGAGAGTTTGTCCTGCCAACGAACATGCAGAATGTACCTGAGACACCAATGGTCTAATACCTCGAGTCTGCGTAAATCTTCCGCGCGAAGAGGCCAGGTTTCACAGCCATACAGCAGAACGGGTCGTATGGAAGCTTGGTAGATCCGAATTTTAGTCCTGAGACTGATTTCTCTCTTGCTCCATAGAACGCTCCTCAGCTGTAGAAACGCATTCCGGGCGTTGGAGATTCGCGCATTCACTTCGTTTTTCGCTTGGCCGTTGGGGAGCATTATGGATCCCAGATATCTGAAGGATGGCACAATTTCAATAGGTGCTCCATTTAAGGATAAGATTTCATCATTGCTGGTGGATGTGTTCGAAAACATTTTGGTTTTGGAAGTGTTAATTTTCAAACCGATAGTAGACGCGAGGTGGTTTATCTGGTCGAGCGCCTGTTGCATATCGGGGAAGTTTTCAGCTAACAGCACGACGTCGTCGGCGAATTCGAGGTCGGTTATGTGAATATCGGGCGAAAGTTGGACGCCGTGGTGCTCGGTTAGGGCGTGCCGCAAAATCCAATCAACTGTGAAATTGAACAGGATGGGGGATGCTGGACAACCTTGCCGGACACCGCTGGTTACCTCAAAAGTGCGGGACTCTTCACCGTTCACTCGGACTCGAGCTTTGGTGTTGGAGTAGTATGACCTGAGCAGGTTGATTAGCTTGGTCGGAACTCCGTCGAGCTCCATTAGATACCAGAGTGCTCCTCGATCAACTGAGTCGAATGCCGCTTGGAAGTCGATGAAGCAAGCAACCGTCGGCTGTTGGAATTTGTCCCTGTGTTCCAAAATTCTTCGCAGTGTGAATAATTGATCAACACAGCCTCTTCCAGGTCGAAATCCGGCTTGATTTGGCCTTGTTCGCACGTGGCGTTCGGCCGCGAAGCGGTTCAGGAGAATGGAAACAAAAACCTTAGCAGCGATATCAATCAGACTTATGCCTCGGTAGTTCTCGCATATTGACCTGTCTCCCTTTTTGTGGAACGGTAGCAGAACTGAGGTGCTCCAATCGGAAGGAATGGTTTCGGACTCCCAAATTGAGCAGAACAGCGAGTGCAGTGCATCGATTAGCGCTGGAGTGCAGGCCTTGTATATTTCTGGGGGTAGACCATCTTCGCCCGGAGCTTTTTTGTTTCTGAGTCTGTTAATTGTTTTAGCTATTTCGGTTGGAGTGGGTGGATCGCAGTCAACTACGTAGGGTGTTGGTAAGTGTCGTATCGGTCGATGAGACGGTTGACCAGCGTCGCGATTGAGTAGCTGCTTGAAGTGTTCGGCCCATCGTTCCATCTTACCATTGGTGTCCGAAATAATTTCTCCTGATGCTGTGCGTAACACAGCATGACTGTTAAGGCGTTTGCCAGATGATTGGCGTAAGAGGCGATAAAGTTTTCCGAAATCGCCTACATTTGATGCTGCTTCCATGTTAGTCGCCACGTTAGACCAATAGCGATTTCTGTCGTTCCTAGCAGACTGTGTAGCTTTGCGCCTGAGGGAGCGATAAACTGGAGACTTTGCTAGGCGAGCGTCTCTGGCTTGCGAGGATAGAAGCATGGTGTGCTCTGAAATCCAGTCTTTCTGCTTCTTGGATGTGGTA